CGGAAGAGCTGGTACAGAAGAGCTATCACGAATTTTTAACCTGAAAACAGGGACGTCCTCAGGCAGAGGGGAGGGAAGTGAATCAGATTCCTCCCTGTGGGTTACAGAGCCTCCCAGTTCTGGAGTTATCCCCAGGGAGAAACAGCGGGAAGGAGCTGCGGACAAGCTGCTGAGGGCTGAGCCTCCCGGAATGGTGGAATCGGAGTCCTGGGAGGCCGTTAAGAACCGCACCAGAATCAGCGGTGACTGAACACGAGTTATCACTACCGCCTGGTGGCGCCGGGGAGCGCAGGGCCTCCGCTGAAACACTGCAAGAGCCTGACCAGGCTGCACCAGAAAGCCCTCTTATGGGTGCAGTGAGAGGACTAGGGATAGCAGTTACCAGAGAACAGGAAAAGGGACGGGAGCTGATGGGACTGGGGCTCTGCACCCTCACGTCCAGCTTAATTGCCCGCATTGCTGCCGTTAGCAGGCCGCGACGCCCGAGAGCAAGCGACCATCTGAGCCGGCGTCTTGCCCCAGTCTGTGTCCAAGCAGTACCTCCACGGTGCTCCTGCCCGGAGGCGGCACTGGCCCCGCGGGACAGAGAAGGGGCTGGAAGCCGAAAATAAAGTAAGACTTCCCAAAGAGATGTCTGAGCCAGACAGTGGAGCAACAGTGCGCTGTGATGCTCTGCAAGGCCGGCCATGTGGGGGGGCCTAGGAACAGGTCCGGGGGCCTCCCTCAGTGCACCAGGCACCTATAGGCCCTGACCCCGTCTCTTTTCCTCACTTATGGAAGAAACTAATAACCTTAAAAAAGGGAAAATAGACAAAAAAATGAAATATCAGTTCAGGAAAATAACAGCCTTGTTTACAAAGCGTATATCCGAGAAGAACAGTTAGAGATAAGGAGTCGTCTTTCTGGAAGGACATAATGGCTGCGTCTACGTAGGTGAGAAGATTAAGATTCAAGTAAAGGGCTGAAGAAGACAGGAGCATGGGGCAAGAGTGTTCAGCCAGCCCAAGAGAGTCTGAGCAATGTTTAACAGCAACGACATCTTAAAAAGCCGATTTCCGGGACCAGCAGTTGGTGTAATGTTTATGTCGTTGGACTCCCGTGTAGTCAACCACAGTTCGAGTCCCAGACCTGGTGGCTTAAACTCACGCTGAGTACATGTGTGTGTGTGCCCAAGATCCTGAGAGGAGAATGGAGGGGAAGGGATTGCGGCGTGGCCATCCCCCCGGGGGGTTATTTCTCACGTTCTGTCTCTCTGTCTCTCTGCTTTCTGGTGAGTGCATGCACCCTATAGCGAAAACCTCCCACCCACCCCACCCACCCCCCAAAAAACAAAAACCCTGATTTCCAAGAACCCCACCTTGCAACCATTAATTTCCAAGAAGAAATACAACTGAAGCATC